TGTTACATATCGTATTGTTATATCGTCATCTTATCAAATTTAGCAATGTGGTACACTTCGAAGACTGTCACCGGCCGAACATGAAGAATAAGAGTTCAAGGAGTGCTATATTTATTTCTAGTTTAATTGGATATTGTTTAAATTACGTGATGATGTTGAATAGACCCGTCTGTTACGTAATTTAGAATAATAAGAAAGGCAAGAGTGTGTGCTTAATAGACAATAATCTTTCTATCTATGAGTCATCTTTCCACCTATTACGCAAGATAAAGTATTGTTATAAGGTAGAATTGACGCATTGATGAAGCTGTTGGCCAAGAGAGCCGCGTCATCAAAGGGATTGAATCTAATTGAGGCGCGACAGACGTCTTCTCACGTCCCACGATGCTTGAGACAAAAAGCTGCGTTACGCCCAACTAAAAAGCCAGGACGTTTCCCACGTGACCCGTCGAAGCGAGGGAGGCTGGATCTACCCTCCTGCTGATCGCGAGTGCTCATTGTTTCACGGAACAATAATGACCCGCCGTTCGCAATAAGAACTTCAACAACAAGTACGCGAAAACTACGAGGAGAAATTATAAGCTCAAAAAATGTAAAGAGGGCAAAAACGGAAATAAATGAGAAAGTAAAACAAATGCAAAAAATACCAAGATAACCAAATAACGTTCCTACCGAGAAATGAATATTAATTTGTACAAAAGAAAACTATTTAAAACAATAAATCACGTATCTGCTTCGTTAAGATGTTCAATAAACAATTACCGATAGTATGTGGGAAGTAAAAGAGAGCAGGGTGAAAGCCATGAGAAAGAGTAAAAAAGAATTGTGGGGGAGGCGGAGACGTAACGGGGAGGAAGAAAGAGATGGGGAAACGTGGGGAGATAGAAAGATGCAGAGAGGGAGAAAGAACGGATCATGCAGAGGGTGGAGGCGTACAAAGACTGCGCAAAACACACAAACAGGCGTATTGCAATAATGGTCGTGCGTGTTGTACAAATACGATATCGGGTTGAGGGGGCCGCCACACGGGCACGTGACCCTCTCAAAGGGCTCGTCGTATAACGAACACCCCCGACGGTGAGGCCCCCCGCAGGGGACGCTCGTGTTCCGCGACCAGTTAGCGGGGTTAACTTACAACCCTGCGGCCAACACGCCCGTCTCGACCTCTGAGAGTTAGCGCTTTTTTTATATCCTTTTTTTATGTCGACACGTTATTGCAACAATCATGCGGCAATTTTATACGTTTTCCGCGTTTTCGAGGGATGAAAGCTCTGCAGCACATATTGCACCATTGTAACTTGGGCCTTCATTAGAGGCAGTTTGGTGAATTTGGGCTGATAATGAAGTTGCAGCGCGATAATGAATTCGCGTAACGGAATCTCAAATAATAATAAATAATTAACTTTATCAAATTCAGTGAGAATCTACCTTGATAATCTTATTCTTTTCAGAACAAGAATTTTTAGAGAGAAATATAATTAGCTCAATTCTGTGTGGAAATTTCACAATTTAAAAGTTTATTGGAAATCGTTGCAGGTTATATTGGCCGCGGAGTTGGTCTGTCATCAAAGTTTTGATGAGCTAATTTTGTACTTTCCAAATTTTTGCAATATTTACAAATTAAATTCTCCTCCTAATAATGAAACGATGTTATTTCGCATGTAGTAATTAATTAAATAACTAATATTGAACAACATTCTTAATACTTGAAATATTCGGATCAAATAGCTTTTAAAATTTCTTCCTAATTTCCTGTTATAATAAATACATCTAATGAGTCAACGAAATCTCGATCGACGCCCACGATTTAATAACGAAACAAATTGAAGATGCCGCCCCCGCAACGACGCGACAATTAATATCCCGGCGGCGTGCTCTCATGGGAAAATTTCATACGTCGAACGTGGGCGAGCATATTCGCCCTCATTAACGATCCGCATCCTCGTCTTTTTTTCGTCCCGAGGGCTTTTTCTGCGCAAGATTTCCATAATAAAGAGAAACGCCACGATATCGATAGCGACAGTCGACAATACGTTTCGCATAGTCCACGAATCGAGTAAGGGAGCGACGGCAATTCAAATGAATCACTAGGGCCCTGCGCGTGTAATGGAGGGTGTACATTCGGAAACTATTACGGGCACGTGATATCTTCCGACACGTGCTCTTGCGACTTGTAAATTACGCGTGTGCGCGTTCGTCCTAAGTCCGGCCGCAAATTGAACTAAAGACTGATTGAAAGGATAAAGGAACTATGTTATATCTTTACACTGTAAAAAATCTTGCGTATATACAGTACGTAAACAAATGTTTCAAAAGGTCCACTCTAAATTTTGTGTAAAAAATAACTCATTCATGTATTCATTCGTGTGTTATTTGCATTATGTACAGACTAGTACATAATGTAAATAACACACGAATAACATATAAATGAGTTATTTTTTACACAAAATTTAGAGTGGACCTTTTGAAATATTTGTTTACGTACTGTGTACGCAAGATTTTTTACAGTGTAAAGATGTAACATAGTTCCTTTATCCTTTCAATCAGTCTTTAGTTCAATTTGCGGCCGGACTTAGGACGAACGCGCACACGCGTAATTTACAAGTCGCAAGAGCACGTGTCGGAAGATATCATACAGAGATGAAGACATATACAGAGTTGAGTTGTCTCTATGCAGAATAATTATTTTACGGATTCAAATTTATGAAGATAAGAAACTCCGAGTGTTCAAATTTCAGAATTTGAGGAATTCAAAACCAGTTCTCTAAAGATCAAAATTTCTATCGACTGAACATTTCGAAGTTGACGCGTTATATATTGTTAAAATTCCGCGTATCAAGATTTTCAATAACTAAAATTAAAGAAGTGTTGAACTTTCGGACCATGAACGCGCTATCTAAATGTATCTAAATTTCATTCTGCTTCTGTATTCAGTTTAGCCGCATAGCATAAAAAAATATTCTCTAATAATAAAAAATATAATAATAAAAAATATTCTCTAACAATAAAAACTATGCAGGATGTCTCAAAATTGTTGCTCATCGTTTAAAATCTTATATAATAATATTTTCACAATTTCCTGTTGGGTTTTCATATTCAGTATTATGATATATTGTAACACGTTATAAAATATTGCCACTAAATCTAATCTAATCGTTGAAAATCGATGCGATTTACTATTATGCATGCACTACGGAAAACTCACTTAGTGAGTTGAAATTCAGCACTCACCATCCCTCGTGAAGTCCACCGATGTCCAGTTAGGTCCACCGACATCCATCAAAGAAATTCGTGGCTGCATACTGTGAGATGCGTGGCGTCCTACTTCACGTTGACTGTCACTTTATATCTCGAAACGGAATTACAAGTTCACTAAACAAATTCGCACGATAATGTCTGTCAAAGTACGACTAGTTCTCTCACTTCGCAGACACACTCGCGGTACGATACATTTTGTAATTTTAGAAACACACGCGCGACTCGTGAATTGCATGAAAAATTTACGAATTGAAAGCCGATCGCACTAATCATAAATAGCTCAATACCGTACGCGAACGAAGTAATCGACGGTGGCGTGAAGATCTCACGTACGTGACTCCGTAGTAGCCATTAGAGGAGTCAAGTTAGGGAAGATTACTCCCCAATATAGCTCCGCAATATTTTTGCGAAGTTTGCTTCGCAATCTTTGCGAGGTCTGTCCCGCAATATCTTTGCGAGATCTGTCCCGCAATGTCTTTGCGAGGTTTGTCGCGCAATATCTCTGCCCCGCAATATTTCTGCGAAGTCTACTTCGCAGTACTTTTGTAAAGTTTACGTTCACAGTAGTTCTTCGAATTTTAATTAATGATTGACGAATTAACAAAAATGAACAATTAAGGAAAAATCATATATAGAAAATATAATCACGGTGAAAAAAATGAATATAAAAAATTGAAAACTAGATATCGTGATAATATTAATACATTTCAAAGTGAAATCTACGAATTAAATTAATAAAAGACCAAATTAAAATTCGCATATTCGAACTTGTGATTCGTGAACCGCGTGGAATAAATCGCGAGCTAAAATCGACCACACTGCTCGCGAAATCAATCGTGAAAATGTCTAACCAAATTATTTCGTGATACTATCGAAAAATTTACTTTTATAAAATTTTAACTAATTTCATTTAACGAGATTCTTTTCTGCAAAACGTAATAGCAATGCAAATGTACGTGTGAGAATTTGAAAAAGCTAATGTCCGCGACGATAATTACATATGAATCTAAAAATAATAACGCGTTCCGCGGGTGATGGCGCAATTCTGATGCGCATATACATAATAGTATAATCAAAACAATGTAACAGTACATTCAAAACAATTAGGAGATCTCATCCCGACTGAATAATTCTGTTGAATAATTCTACAGATCAAAATAAATTGACAGCAATTAACTGAACTATCGCATTCATATAAGTACTAAAAAGAACTAAAACTCAAGATTGTATATGTACTATAAATACTATAAGAGCGTTATATAATTATAATATTTAAATATTTATTAAAAATAAAATATTTAAAAATAAATATTTATTAAAAATATATATCATAAAAAAGTATCATTAAAAATTTAAATATTCATTAGAGCTGCTATAAACATTTTTGAAAAAAACAATCTCTTAATTGTTTTGAATACTATCTTTCGTACAATGTATACACACTGAAAAAAATATGTGATATTTATGACTATAATTGTATAAAATAATTGTGTAAAATAATTGTGTAAAATAATCGTAGTCAGAAAAAAATTGTCTAATAACTGTCTAATCTAAATCGTTTACGATAATAACATCAATGCTATAATTTTAGAGTAATTGTTTTTCTTTTCTTTCAATGTGTAAGTGCAAAAATTCAAACATGTAAAAATCTACGAGTAAATCGCATCAATTTCAACAAGTATTACAAATACCCGCCACCTTAAATCCCACCACTTTTCAAAAAACCCATTTTTCTCACTCACCGAAACGCCGAAAGTCAGGGTTGACGTCACGTTCTGTAACAAAAAATACATTGCTGATTAGATTTAAAAGTTCAGATTAAAGAATATGTACACGCAAATAGTTTGTTGACCGTCATTTGTAATCATAGTTCACAAATTTTTATTCCGATAACAATAGCTCAGCATTTAATCACAAAGAGCTAATCGAAGGAATCTGTATGCTTACCTTCAAGCCAACCTTGCTTAGTCCGAACCGGATCCTCCGATACAGCATCTGCGTCCACCGTTTGGTCACAATCATCGTTAAATCTGAAACAAAAAGCAAGTTTTTTGGTTAATCATATAAATAAACATCAATGTATCAAGCTTAAGTTAACTATATATTTTTAAGGCAGTATTATATATCTTTTTTAAATCAAATAAAAATAAAAAATCCTAATTACCCTCAAAAATTCAAGAACACTGCTACTACCAGATTGTATAGCGCAATGATTACACGTACGAAATAATGTAACGCGTTTCACGCACGTTTCGACTGACTCAGATAGTCGAGAATAATGCACGACGTCTCTCGATCCGTCTACCAGTGAGTCCGAGATTGTTATGACTGTTTGAAGATTTCGTAAATACACATGGTATTGTTTCCGGGATCACGTGACTTTCAACCGGCGCCGCGGCGGGACATGCTTGGGCTACACCTCGAGAACACCGTTACGTTACTTATTCAATTTTATATTTTCTGTATTGTAATATTAGCATTATATGTTCTTAAATTTTAAATATTTAATCAAATTCTCCCCGCGCGCGCGCGTTGACGTTCAAACCGTCGAAATATATAATTTTTCCACGATGACAGTTATTCGCGGCAATCCTCAAAATTAACAAGATATTTACGTCGAGATTGACGCCAATCGGCATTATGAAGAATAAGCAATAATGAGATAACACACATATCTTATAAATAGAAATGATAGAAGAAAAAACTTTATATAATTAGAAAATTAGAAAATAATTAGAAAATAAAATTAAACAATTAAAGCGAATATTATTATACAGTTAAAAGGAATTAAAGAATTAAATTGGCAGGTGAAATTATTAAATTAAAGAAGCTATTAATTTCATAATAGTGCCAAAAAATGTACTTTTCTAGTTATAAAAAAACTACGCAATATGGTCATGTTTATAGTTTCATTACGCATGAATATTTTAGGGTTACTGTATTGTGATTACTGTCAGCAGCGGAATAGATAAGTACTTCGTCGAGTAAAGCTTGTATTTACACGCACTGACACAAAATTGACGTGTGAAGCACACACTTGTGTCTGACAGGATGGCCTTCGATGGAAATGACACGAAGTCGGGGTGGAAGTTATTATTCGAATACACGCAGTTTCCAATTATAGAAAAATCGTTACAGCATAATACATGTCACACGTAGTTTGACTCCTACTCAAAAGGATGTTTCAATAAATCCAACGTCACAGTCAGTAATTTGTCGTAAATAATTTTCAGACTACGCCACTTTTATGCCGAAGAAATGAGAAGGTAATAAATTAATTTTATATGCCACTACAATGTTTTATCACAAAAAATTTTTAAATTAGAAAATTTACAAATATTTCTGATATGTAAAAATAAAATTGGTAAGTAATATACAAAAAATATTGATTCTCCTATATTAAGAGAATGCTTATTGAAAATAATTATATCGTGAATTTTACTATCGCAAATAAATTTATTTATTAAATTCTTTCGAATTAAAAATAGGCAATTTTTTGTTAAATTTTTATTACATTTGATTTCTGTGAATTTCTCAGTGGTAAATGATTCATTGAAGCACCTTTGGGGGAGAAATCGAACTACATGATGAAATTGTCACGTTGAGTAAGAAACCAGCAGTAGGTAAGAAAGGAAAAACGGATATCGCGTATTTCAGTGACTGTCTTTACGATATATCCTCGACTGATATTTTCACGCGAGATAAACGTGTAAGAGAAAACATGGATAAGAAAAAACATGATATAATCGATTGTGAGTAAAAGTAAATTTGTTGATAAGTTATCTGTTTTCTAAATACTTTACGAAAAAAGCTATGAACTCATGATTAAAATTTTGGAACGTAATAATTACAAATAATATATACGGAAATGTTTTAAAGACGGAGGATTATTATTATTGTTATTCTAATATAAATACAACAATATATTTTTTACACTGATGCGTCTAAAAACACTTGATATCAAATACAGAAAAAATATTCTACGCGCCATAAAAGATACTTTAAAGGAAATATAAAAGTACTTTGTAGAATGTAATAAAGAAATGGAAAATTTTGTCAGGGTGAAGCAATTTTATCAAGCACCCTGGGTATACCACCTGTATCGGTGTGTCTTGGTCGCTTTTGTATCTGCGGCGCATAAATTCCGAGACGTCGCGTTCGTAGTTTCGAGTACGTCGTGAAACAAACAAATGGCATGTTAAACAAATGCAAATAACACCTGGCGTGTGGCCAATATCAGCGATCGATTTTGTGGCAACGATGCCTTTCAAGAAATTCAGGCCGAAGTTCTCCATTTACCAAGTTTGCGTAACTATACTCGAAGCGAGGCACTTGCCACAAAACGCGAACCCACTGGTCGTCGTTAAAGTCGGGAATCGTAAGAGGAGGACAATGGTACGCGAAAGGACCGATAATCCTATCTACAACGAGGTGAAGTTGGCTAGTTTGTTGGGACTATGTCTCGATCAATGTGAAAGTAATATGATCGGAAAGTTATAACGGGCGGAACTCGCAAATCATTTTACGTGAACGGTCTTTTGTGAAAGGTCGAATCTTTGAATTCTTTTTATTAACTAGACTTTTTAAATTCTTAGATTCTTTGAATCTTGAAATTGATGTGCAGTCAATACAAGATAAACTAATTAAATGTTTCAGCTTTGATATTGTCGTGGATGATTTAATTTTTTATATGATCGTGTACATAACAAAATTACAAGTTATTGAAATTTTGGATATTTTATGGATTCCTTAGAATAAATCAGAATATTTTTATGTTACGAAAATTACTCTCAAAATTTCATATATTGACAATTTCTTTATACTTTTAATCTCGGAAAAACCTAAACATTTAATTTTTCTTAATATTGAGATAATTTAATCAATATATTTTATTCGCGAAATTTCAAATTTACGTATGTCTTTATATAATAATTTTTATATAATATGCAGTACTTCGTATTCGATTTCACATGCAGCCTGGACGCTTTGCTCGGCACGAGAATCATGATAGCGGTGTACTTGCGGAACTTTCTTCGACAACGAAAGTTTCACGGAAGCATCTCCTTTGAAGTCGCAACGGTATGGGAACAGCCAGGTCAGAGAGAAAAGAATTAAAAAGAAAATAAACGAATATAAAGAAACCGATATGTTTTTAAAGGTACGAGACTTGTAATTTATGAACGAAAGAAGGCGATAGTTCAGATTCCCGTAAGGTATAATAAGCAACTCGTTCAACAAAATGATAAAAACGATATCATAAATTTTGATTAATTATGAGAATAAACTTGATATTGCATAAAGGATCTTAGGCTATTGTAGAAATCACTTTTTATCACTTTTTAAATTGAAGGAAATTGACATATATTTGATTTCTCGAAACAGTATTTTATAGATGTTATTATCATTTACAGACCGACAGTATTATCATAAATGGGCCGTGCTAACAGACCCAAAAGACCCGACGGCAGGCCCGAAAGGTTACGTCAAATGCAACATCACGGTGAACGTGAGAGGTGAGAAAGTTAAAGTGCATCCCGAAACAGAGGGTGAAGATGACATCGAAGGGTAATCATTTTGCGATATTAGTGAAATATTACTTGTATACTAATATGCATATTTACAATTTGTATTAATTGACTTGTCCAATATCCCATCATTTAAGTCAATTATCAAAACGATCTCCTACGCGAATTAAACATATGTAACGAATGAATAAACGTAGGAATCTGCTGTTACCTGTCGGAGGTGAAAGTCTGCCTTTCAGGCAGCGCGCACGATACATTTTTGTCGTTTACCGTGCTGACGGATTACCAGACATGAGCAGCTTATGTATCAAAAGCGATTTCGAAAACATTAATCCTTACGTGCAAATATCATTTGCCGGAATGAAAGTACGTTATTCAACCAATTTTTAATCCAATACGGAGATGAAAGTTCATAGTAATTTATTTAATTTCGTACCGGAATTAACGTATCTACGCTGTATCACTGGTCAACTTTAATCGCTTATAATTTCAATATTGCGATATCTACATCTCTGTTTCAAACAATGTTTTACTTTTATTAAGGGAATATGTGCGCTATTAGGAATATTACACACTATCAATACAGATATCAAATTAGCTAAATAACTGCCCTTACTCTTTGCCTCGGAAATCAATGCGATTTGTAATTAAGTATGCACTGCATACCATTTGATGGCCACTCGCTAGCTCGCGTTGAAATTCACCACGATGTCCAGAACGAAACTAGTCGCCTCAACCTCAACCGTGTCGTTCTACATTCGCAAATTCGTGGTTCCACGTCGATTGCATTTTCCACCTCACCGTACCACTCACGACGCGATTAATATTCACGACTTAACGGCGTTCTACGAATGTATCGACGGAATCGACGAGTCGTCCACGATTCCAAAGTTTTGATTTATCACGAAACTGAACCTACTAATTTATTTAACACAGAACGAAATTGAGATATGGGAAAATTCATTTAATGTATATCCATCGCAGTTCCGGCACTTTGGAAATATATTCGCGGTGTAATAAATTTTGTCAGTTCGGAGACGCACTCGCACCTCGCGAATCGCGTGGAAAGAATTGCAAAACGAAGCCCGGAAATCGAAACGCGAAATCGATTAATGTTCTCGTAGTGTCTGTGCAAGATAGTCAACATACGAAGCATTTACAAGTAAAATAAATCGCATTAATTTCAAGGGGATTGCTTAAACATCCACAGTGAACTTTCATCTATTAACCCATCACCTTAACACGTATCTATGACTCACCGATATTGTCAATACTGCGTTATGTTTGCCGATACTGCATCCATGGAACTCGTGACGTTGTCGTGTAGCTTGCCAGATCTGAAATAAAAAATAATTTACTTAATTAATTAGAGCGAAATAGTTATTCAACGTACATTAAAAGCTGGAAGGGGAAACCCAAACATTACCTATATTTGATACAAATAAAGCGTGGTAATCAACCTTTAAAATTTATGATCGCCCTCTCCTCCCCCGGCATGTTAACGCAACGCGAATAGGGTAAATTCTCGTTATATTGGTTCTCATTAATTCACGAAAATTCGAAATAATGGACCTCGCGGTCCAAGATCTTCAATTTGCCATAACAATTCACATAGATTTATACGCGTTCTTACAAAGGGTATCGAAAATACAGTAATTTTGGAGTATCCTGTACAGTGGAAGAGAGGAGATGATTATAAAATGTTACGTTCCTAGGGGACGACAAGTGAAGAGTGGCAAACCTACTCCCCGAAATTCCACGAGGGTATCATTTTCAAGGAAATGTTTCCCGCGTTTTGCCACCGTGTGCGAATTGCTATAAAACACCGTATCGACAGCTTTCGAACTTGCGTCGTGGCAGTTCATACCTTGGATACGGCGAAGATTTCAAATTCCGAGGAGTACGGTAAAATTGTCAAGTCATTCCTTACGAAATATACAAAGTGTCCTGGGACACTTTATTTTTCAGAAAATCGATATCTGCTTCCAGATTAAATAAACTTGTCAAAAACGATTTTGAATACTTTATGACATTTTTATTTGTCATACATCGTCTTACGACATTTCGAAAAATTATTTTTACGATGAATTTGAGACAAATTTCATTATGACAAACTTTTATATAGATAAGTTTATATAGATAACTTTCATATAGATAAGTTTTTTATACATAAGTTTGTATAAGTTTAAAGTAAATTATTGTACTTTTAAAATTTAATCCAGGCTAAATTCAAATGTTTATATTAAAGTAATAACGTAAAAGCGCGACGTGCGACGTGGGAAATTGCAAAAGGTAGCAGGAAACATTTGGCTTTTCAACAGGATTTCTTCCGACTTACGGACCGTCTTTCATCCACTTTTACGGATCCGGGTCGGTGGAAAAGAACGGCTGCTCGGGCAAATGCTTGACGGCTTTGCCTTTGTATCGTGGAAGGGTGCTTGTGTCGTTGAAAACTGAAATGAATGACCCGGACGCATCCCCCGGAATCGGAGTCGAAACAGTTCCAGCATTTCCCATTATCGAAGTGATTCGATTTTTAAATTCTATTTTCGTGATTGTTATCTTATTCATGCGTGAAAAGTCTCGATTTCTACTGTAGTGAAATAAGTTCGTTGCTCTTTAGTAACCGTATGTAATATTTTAAGTAATCGTAATAAGTTTAACAATTATCTCAAAAAAGCAAGATAATGTAATGAATGCCCATTTCAAATATTTATTACAGAAGTTTATCAAACTGAATTAAAAAGTATCAAAATTGAGTCAAGAAGATTTGAAATCTTATTACGATATTAAGTGATTAAATTTAATGATATTATAATCTAAAGTAGATTTGACTCATTACAAAAGATTGTGAAATCTAGAAAAACTTCTGGTCAACCGAGGAATATCTCCTGGTCGGCGTATTGTATGACGTGTGTATGATCGACCGTTCTCGATTCGGATCGAAATCGATCAGTTTCGAGTTGAGTGTGGGAAACGCGGGCAATCAGCAATTCCCGCATAGCCAGTGTGCCGAGGACAATAACGACGACCAATCAGGTGCTCTATAGGCTTTTATTTTCGTCGGTTATATCGTTGCTTCTATATAGAAGCTATTTTAATACTAAATGCGGTCACTGTGCGAATAGATGGAAAAGGAAACGAGAAAGTTTTAGCACACTCTGTTCTAAAAATATCTAATACCCCTCTTGTTTTTGCCTCCTTTTGTTATTTTAATTCTGGAAACGCGCGTAACGTTATCGATCGTATCAATATCAGTCTCTATAGAACGCTTCCCCATAACTGAACAAATTCCCAGATGTGGTAGAGGAAGGAGTATTACGAAAAAGGAAATTCGTGTTCCGCAAGGTTTCTTTTCGACAAAACAGACACTTCGAAATATCGGAGACGACGGCAATCTTCTTCACGTCTAACACATCTCCAAAAATTTGTCACTGTTGTTAACAGCCATTCTGTATATGTTTGATGCAAAAAATACACTTTTGCTATCAACACAAAACGAGAGTCACATTCAATATTAAATGCGCGATGACAACATCAGTTTTTCTCTATTTTCGTCTTCGGCAGGAAACGAATTGTGGGAAAAACAGCCGAACTTCGTAAGTCAATCAGTCCCGCGAGCTACAGGCACCCTGGATGGCAAGTATAATTACTTGCCTTTGGGCTCCAGGAAACCCTGTTTGTATGTGAAATCCTGGTGGCCAAATTTGGAATATCGGATGTATAACAGCAATAATCTTCGATATATCGCCGATTTCCTGGTTAGTTGTAATTATCATTTATGATTTAACAGTTGTAAAAATGTGTTATTTCGTTATCAGTAGCAAATGAACGTTGTTTTAGAAAGATATTTAATTGTTAAAGATATAGTCCCCACACTATTTTATTGAGTATTGAAGAGAATGGAAAATTATTGAGTTAATTGATATTAGATAATGAAGCTTGTACGATTCTAATTCGAATTTGTTGCAATCTAAATACGCCGAACAATTCTGCGAATTTTACCGCGGAAATTATTTTTATCTGTTTGTAGGAGACAAGGCTGGAGAAACTAGAAACTCTTATAGCCATAGAGTATTCTGAGACCTTCGCGATCTACAACGAGACGATTCATGCGTTGAAAGCTCACTGCGCGCGCTATCTGCAAATACTTGGTAGCGACAAGTACAACGAACGTGCAACCACTAAACTCGACCGCCATCGTGCGAATTTCTGTCGCAGAAATATCGAGGACATACTCAAAAGGATCAAGAGAAACGGTGAACTACCTAATAACAATTACATGAGAATCGCGATGGTCCACGCGTATCAGTACTTAAGGAAACTAAGAGACTTGTGCGAAGAGGTGAGTCGACAATTTGAAAAAAAAAAAAAAAGTTACAAAATTTTGGCTCTCTGCCAAAATATCGAAATGCACGACAAATGGCTAAACATTTTGTCGAACTTACCGCAAACCTCATGATCTTAAATGATATCCTATTTAATCTTGCGTTCAATTAGCCTCAGCACAGTCTGCCAGACGTCTTCGTCTGGATGATTGCTGGCTCGAAACGAGTTGCTTACTCGCGATTACCCGCGCGGCAGATTATCTACTCCGAAGAAACTGTCGAAATGGTCGATAAGCGCGGCCGGCTAATCAACCTCTTCCCCAGAAATCCGGACGACGAAACTGAACCTGTCGAATATAGCGCCTGCAAAATCGAGACCTTCCTCTGGCTGGGCAACGCGAAATACGTCACCGCCTGTTGGAGCGCGATTCCACCGGGATACGAGGTCGATCACGGAAGAAACGTCGATACCTTCCCGAAGTACCTCGAGTACAATCAGTCCTCGGTGAGAAAACGGTAGAAACGATCTTCGTAAAAGCGTTACGGTGTCACGAGCGAAACATGACTTAGCAAAACGAAAAAGAAAGAAAGAAGGAACGAGAAAGAGAGAGAAAGAGAGAGAGAGAGAGAGAGAGAGAGAGAGAGAGAGAGAAGGAAAAATAATAACTTGATGTAGATAAGGATGCTAAGCTAGAAATCAGCACGTGTGTGAGAACGAAATCATGATAATGCGATACGATCGTTGTATACGTTATAGACGTTCCAGTTGCGAGCTCACATATTCCAAGGCCGCTTTAACCCCGGGGCGGACACTTTCGGCCTGCTGGATCCGTTTATCCGCGTTGCGTTTCGAGGATACACGGCTACCACGCAAGTGAGTTATGCGAGATTTTAATGGAACATGATCGCGCGTGACGTGCAAAGTTTACCCTCCTCGTTCGCGAATACTTAGTTTACAAAATTTCGAGCGGAATATAACTCGTCTGCCATCTCGCAGATGCTACTGCGATAATCTATTTCGCATGTTGGTCATGCTATGTGCATGCACGCAATAACAATGGTTATCACGATCACCGCGAAATTTCTCTACAATGTAGAGCACTTCTCTATGACATTTCACTTCCACGAATGCACAAGGATGCCGACCGATGCAACGCGAGTATGATTAATGTTACACGTCGAACGTCGAACGTTGCATTTAAGTGAAAGCTCGTTTCATGGCGGTGCGTCATTCTGAAAAAATCTATTTCGCTGGCCAATAGTGAAAATGGACTAATAAAATATATTTAAAAATTTAACAATAACATTAAAACATTTTAAAATATTTCAATCTATCTCACATAATATTTACTTATATCAATAATTTTGTCGATTATATACATGAAAAAAATTTGTATAAAATTAAAAATGTAAAAGCACGTATGTATGTGATTTAAAGTTGAAATATAAATGATATGATAGATATTGAAATCATAAATTCTATAAAAGAATAAAGTATCCATAAAAAAGAATATGTGTATGCGCGCGTTAGTGTGTATTGTATGTGTTACTAGAATATTATAATAAATATTGAATATAATTTTATGCGCGTACAGACAATAAAACAAAGTTTACATCCGTTTTGGGACCAGACGTTGATTTTTCCTCCGATTATCTTGCACGGTACTAAGGAGTACATTAAATCGCTACCACCTGAAGTTGTTTTGCAGGTTTACGATCAGGATTTATACGTAAGCAAAACAATGAACTTGTCCAATTTTTTTAGTAATATTGAAAATAAAGTGCGCGATGAAAAATACGTATTAATATAACACAGACCACGAAGGAATTTTGCGGCAGATGCATCGCGATGCCATTAGTGAAGCTCGAAACGGAAACATACTCGCCGCCCGATTTTCCACCGAAATTGGAATGGCACAAATTTCAATCGCAAAATGATTGCACCGGTTCCGTACTCGCCGCTTTCGAGCTGATAGAAGTAAGTTATCCATCTTCTTTCCTGTGGGCAATATATCGAGAAAAGAAGTATAAGCTCCATTCTTTTCTCATACATAATATTATGTACATTATCTCGGCGCCATCATCTCTCTCTTACTTTTTCATATATGCAAAATGCCAGATTGAATCTTTACTCGATTTAAAAAGAAGAAAGAAGAGAACTATCATAACTCAATGCGATGTCCGATAAAAATATGTACACAGACTGAAAGCGAGGAGAATGTGGATATTCCGATGAACATGTCAACGAAGGATAGGATTTACAGCATCCCGCCGGACATCAGACCGAAAATGGCGAACCACAGGCTGGAGGTGGTCTTTTGGGGTGTCCGCGACATGAGGAAGATAAACTATATGCCAGTACTGAGGCCGAGAATTATAGTAGAGTGCACCGGGGTCCACGTGAAGTCGACAGTAATTGAGGACGCCGCGAAATTCAGCAACTTTCAAGAACCACACATTATGATCGAGCTGGTAATTACAGAATAATTGTACACTAGAAATTGGCATTCTGTAAAAACGTATGATCGCGCGCTACTACTAATTGCAAGAAAATGGAAGCACTTTAGAACACACTATTCACCAAGGAAATGGCAGAGCTCGACATTTACTACCCGAGCATCACTATAAAGGCTTACGAATCCCGCGGATTCGGCTGCTTCAAGTATGCAGGGGCCTGTACTATCCCTAGTATTCGCGTGTTCCTGGTGCAATTAATAACCGAGGAGGATTATAACGAGCAGATATACGAGTCGAAATTTCTACAGAAATTTCAGGCAGCGAAACAACAGCCGACAGCAATGTGTAAGCACATTTTCTATGTAACCGTTTAAACGATATTTATAAATGATATTTCTATCACAATTCAAAATTGAAATCATTAATATCACTTCTACTTCATCTTCGTGGGCAGTGCCCTTACCGACAGATTATAGTTCTTCGAAAGAGGAGAGGAAAGGTCTAATCGCATATAAGAGAATGGCTGGAACAGACATTCATTCCAAATTGAAAAGATTACGTGCAATGATAAAGTGGATATTGAAATTCGATTTCCTTACCAAGAGGAAGAAAGTAGAAATACAGAGGGATAGTGATGACGAGACTCTCGATTGGTGGAGTAAATATTTCGCTTCTCTTCAGGTATGCAAAACGCAATTGTGTGTTCAATCGGTTCAAGTAAACAGCTGCTATTACAAATTTTCTAAATTGTACTTCATCATTTGAGAATTTATTAAGTCTGGTCATACTAATGCAGTTATTAATTTTTTGAATTTTTAAATTCTTACTTCTTTAATATTAATTTAATAGCCTGATTAATAGACAAACTTTTTATATTATTAGATACTGTATGTTTTTGTTGCTATATATATATATATATATATATATAGAGAGAGATTTCTATATATGCATTGCAAACATAATTAAATTCTTAGAATTTCTGAATTCCCATTCATCTCTAAATCTTCATATCGTTAACTTTTTAGAATTTTGTTTGAAAGTTTTATTTTCCAACATTATTTAAGTCACGTTGCTGCTAAATGAACCGATTCTGATGATAACCACGTAGAACTAAAATTTCGACTAAAGTCAATCGGGCGAAACACCCGATAAATGTAAATTAGCACGCGTTCGATCTGTAGGAAGAGAGAAATAGAGAGTTGGGAATCACGACAGCATTTCATCGTAAACCCGTGGCGACGTTCAAGGTACACTTTAATGCACTTGTACGAACTTGAGAGCTTAGACACTGAAATCAGATCTATTCCATGGAATTAGAGATGCAGCCGCAATTCGATGGATTTCAAGACCGTTTTAAGACTTTTGAATTATGGCGGGGAAGGAAGTGCGAGGATCTCGATCAAGCCAAAGATAATTACGCTGGCAAATTTAAGGTCAATTAATATAAGAAAATTATATACTTTAAAGCAACTGATTTATATATAAAATTAGCAAAAACTATTTTTATTTTTTGAAGTATTTTACTTAAATTTTCTCAATATAGATTAATTAAATGCTTTCAATGCAATGTGACGAATATAAAGTGTAAAATTACGTAAATTGAAAAAAGTTTCGACTACACGAATACACTATTTGATTCGCGAGTTGATTTAACATTTTAATTATTTTTACAGGGACACATTTCTGTATACCGATGGCCGCACCCTGACAACCTTCCATGCAAAACGAAAAGCGGGAGAGACGCGGCTAATGGCCTGTGTAACGATTATCCACCTCAAGAGTCTGTTAAGCTCCTCGTTAGACTCTACGTTGTAAAGGGTCAGTCATATGCAAAAAAGTTCGAGTATCATGCGTAACTAAGGGAGAAATTAACTCTCGAAAATATCCCTCGCGACTTGTTGACAATTTTAGTGTTCTCGAGAAAAAATGATGAAAAAGAAATTCTGAAAACTAAAAAAGCGCGGAACGAAAAATAATTCGGAAACGATTATTCAACAAAAACGAATCTATCGAAAATCGAAATTGTCGACTAGGACGAGCGCAATTCTTATGAAACATTATATGCTATTTATAAAACACTGATTGTTTCCAAATCCCAAAACGGCAAACAAAAAATCATTCGCTTCCATTTCATTCGTTTTTATGGCGCATCCTATACTTCTCGATAAACAAAGCACGTCTTCGATATCGAGGCCGACAGTAAATTCGCTTCCCGCACAGGCATCAACTTACAACCTAAGGATCCCCTCACCGGTAAATCTGACCCGTACCTCTGCGTGAAGTTGGGAAAAAATTCTATAAGCGACAGGAAGAATTATATAGCCAATCAATTGAACCCCACGTTCGGCCGGTAAGGTCTACAAAAAGCCGCTCTTTTCCAAGGCGCCTCGAAGCGTAGCTTCGCCCTCTGAACGTTATCGGAAAATATGTTTTATCGATATCAATCTGTGCATCCATGCGTATCGACTTTTTGCAGCTTTCAAAGCTACGATCCTACTTTTTAGCTAGTCTGTAGACGACCACGGCAGCGATAAGCATAAAAATGTTACTTTGCTGAAAAGAATATTACTTCATTAAATAAGCCGTTTTATTTTTCCTTAAAAAAACGTAACAGATAATTCCTTAGTTCTTCTCTCACAAGTAGACCTATCCAAAAGTTACACTCCGATTTCTTTCTAATTTGGCACAAATATAGAAGTACAAAAAATATTTAGGTCATATTTTTTTATTTTGACTCACTAAGTTTCACGGGCAATTTATAGCTTTTTAATGTTCTCACTCCTATCATCAATAAGTACAACAAAAATGCATAAGAAAATTAAATACAAGATATAGTTAAATAATTTTAACAAAATCGGCATAGCTGAGACACGAACCATTCTAAGTTTCTTTAGCCGAGATTCCAACCAAAATATTTAAAACCTGTGGTAAATTAGTCAAAAATAATTCGAATGTCGGCCAAACCGAGAAATTATCTGTATAAATAATTTTTTTCAACTTTTTACATGTTTTGTTTACACATTTTATTATTTATACAAATAATTTTACACATTTCATAATTAGCAAACCAAAAACGCCTATACTTCTACATTAAAACTTCTAAAACTTCCACATTTGTGCCAAATTAGAAAGAAATCGGAGTGTACCTTTTGGGTAAGTTTACTTGTCAGTAAGGAACACTCGAGAGATTTAACAATGAAATATGACACTATTATTTAAAATGAGCAAACATGCAAAATTATCGTAATACTTTTGAAATCCCAAATTCCGTGGCTGGTTCGAAACTAATTCTTTCCCCGCAAAATTTTCGAGTTAAGAATAACAAAAACTGAATTCTAAGTGAAGACAAGATAAATTATCGCGAGCATCCCTGAGCAATCGCTCTATTGTCCGGCAGCATGTTCGAGATCGAAGCGAGTTTCCCGCGAGATTACATGCTGGTGATCCAAGTGTGGGACTACGACGTGACGACAGCCGACGATTTGGTGGGCGAGACGCGAATTGACATCGAGAATCGATTTTACAGTCGGCACCGGGCGCACTGCGGAATCGCAGACGTTTACAGCAGCGTAGGTTATAACTCCTGGCGGGATCGCGAGAGGCCGACGCAGATTTTGGAATTTCTTTGTAAAACGAACAACCTGCCGTCGCCGGAATACCGCGAGCACGAAGTTAGGATCGGCAAACAAACTTTCCCCTTTCAAACCGTGATCGAATTAGACGAAGACGAAGTCGGTATGTAATGCCAGAATTACGCGATGTAACACTGCTATTAGGGATAGAAGCTACCAAATACATCAACGCCTTTCTCGACGGATAAATCGATCAAAAAGTTGCCAAAGTTTGATGCTTTTAGATATAGATAGCGTTTCTCACTCTTGCTATCTCAAATTTTTTTTCACGAGAATAGTTAAAAGAATGCTAAACGAAAGGGGTTTTCACCGAGAGAAACTCTTTCGAAATGAAAGAGTCTTTGATGTGGGCGCCGTTGTTGCCGGCAACGAGTGAACTTTTCGTGGCTCTATCATGTTCTCGATAAAGTAACACGTAAACGTATTTATTCCGAATGATCGATGCACGCCGCCAGACAGAAAAGAATGCATGGCTCTGAACGTGCTTCATCGCTGGCAAGATTTTCCCATCTGTGGATGCGCATTGGTGCCGGAGCACGTTGAGAGACGACCGCTTTTCAACGCCAAGAGGCCCGGCCTCGAACAGGTAACATAACATGCGCGACCCTATGCTATGAAAAGTAACCTCGTCCCACGGGAAACGTGATCGTCATACGAACGCTGTTTTTCCCGCGGAAGGAAAGCCATATATCCTAATTACATTACTGCGCTCGACAAGCTACGCTTCTCTCTGATTCTCGACTCGAATAAATCATGACGGAACGACGTACTCGTGATCTCAAGTATTTATTCGCGTCGTAAAATTCGAATTCGCGTTATCAAACATTAAGTATCGTATTAACGGTAATGAAATAGTTTCCTCAACGACACTGTTGCTCTACGTTAGATCTCTCATTAAACCGTGCCAGCATGCTTACGTTCGAAGCCAAGCTTACTCTGTAATAAAAGAGATATTCTCTTGTTTACGTTTTCTCGTTTACTCGTTCGTACGATTAACTGTGTATGGCTATGTGTGTGTATGTGTGTATGTACGTATGTGTGTGTGTATGTGATCCGTCATATCTTGCGAAAGTAGGGAAAGAACCATTAAATTGCATATCACGAAGTCTTTCTGTGAACGTAACCGCAACGCGACAGTGTTAACCTAGTATGAATGACATTGCAGGGCAAACTGGAGTTGTGGATCGACATGTTTCGAATCGGACAATTGCCGCCAAAACCGGCAGTCGATATCACTCCTCAGACACCGGAGGAATATGAGATTCGCGTGATTATATGGAATACCGAGGACGTGCCTCTGGTCGAGAGTCAATTTCTTACTGGCGAAAAGTGTTCTGACATTTACGTCAAAGGGTATGTCATCACGAATATGAAAGAACGAGCTTTTTACACGATTACACGGCAAATCAAGAACACTTTTTCACAATAAAATGACAAAAATATATTTGCATGGGTGAGAGTTAAAACGCTACAGCAAGTCACATATCCGCACTAATTCTTTCCGTTTGGTTGAAAAGCAATTTATTTCTTCCTATTGACTGTAATCTGATATCGAGGAAAGTCGATTATTTAAAATTATTTGATCTCGCAATGTTTCTGATGCTAATTTGATTCTCTGTCAATTTTTCGGAATAATCGTTCTTAATTCTAGCACAATAAACTACACGATTTCATCGACGAGTTTCGGTTGATCGATTCTCCCGATAATCAAATATTCCCAATCGGATTAGAAAAGCGGTTTGCAATTTGCTCGAAATAATTGCGTAGATGGATCCTGTACGAGGACTATCAGAAAACCGACATCCACTATAATTCGTTGAACGGCGAGGGTAATTTCAATTGGAGATTCGTGTTTCGCGTCACGTATTCGAAGGGCGAGAACGCCATGATAGTCCGTAGGAAAATGTCGGTATTTGCCAAAAATGAAACGGAGGAGAAGTTACCTTGCAAACTTCGCCTACAAGTCTGGGATAGCGATCATTTTTCGTCGGACGATTTTCTAGGTAATGAAAATATATGCTATCGATTCGTTCATTAAAGAAATTTGATATCTTCAAGATTGGTATTTATTTCCCTTAATATAACTTGAAGATTGCAAATCCTGACTATAAACAGGAAATTGTATTGTAAGGAAATTATATTCTAAAAATAAGTCTAAAGTATGTATTACCAGATTTATAATTAATTACTATGAGATTTGTGCAAAATATGTTTCTCACATACACTGTCTTAGATATAAATCAACATATTATAGGAGAATTGACATTGAACCTGTCGAGAATGCCGCGGGGTAGTTCGGTTCCCAAAAAGTGTACACTGAAATTGCTCGAACCGCAATTACCTACAGTGAATCTGTTCAAAATTACACGAACTAGAGCTTGGTGGCCTTTCGCGCGCAGCATTAATGCCAGAAAGTATATTCAAGCGGTAAGCTACTTGAAAAAAATTCTCTGGCAACTATATAATAATCCACATAGATATTTACTTGTAATATCGAGAAGCCTACTCAAATTTTATTGATAAATTATATTATTTTGGGAAAAATCACATATAAATTCTTAAGAAATTTTGAAAAAAATTTAGAAACAAAAAGAATTTGTTTTGTTTAATAATCCCGCTTAATATAGGGTAAAATCGAGCTGGAAATATCTGTTTTACGAGCAGAAGATGCAGACAATCGACCAGCAGGCAGAGGCAGAGATCCACCTCAAAATCTTCCACCTCCAAGGTTCATCAAATCTCTTACTCATTTTCCAATTAATTATAAATCTAATAATATGTTCTTTAGACATTACTTTTATTTCCATAATTTTTTCTTTTGCTAGTTTATTTCTATATCGTGATTTTCAATAAAATAAAATATTATCACTTTTAATTAGACGCCATTGTTTTACCCAAAAAAGTATAATCTTATTCTTAATGGATATCCTCTTACATATAGCTTCAAAAGGTTTTCTTTAAAACTAAACGAAAAATACTTTAACACCAAAAAGAATTCTATTAAAGTGAACTATCAATTGAAATCTACTACATATTACTCTAATATTTTTTCTCTTTTGAACCAAGAGGGACATGTTTACTTCAAGAGAATGCCCTCTTACTAAAAGAAATTTCTGTAAAGAACAAGACTTGTGCTACAAATAAAAGACGAAAATCTTCTAACTTTAAGAATATTATGTTTAGAATATTTTCTATTTAGTTTTAAGAAAATCTTCTTCAAGTCATATGAGAGGATTCTATAATAAAGATAAAATTATATTATTTTTATATTAAAAAGAAGTATAAAAAATCTGATATTATATTCTTTAGCAATATATCTTTCATCTCGAAAGAGAAATAAATATTCGGCTATTTATCAAAACTACCCAAACAACATAGATCTCCACAAGATATCCCTTCTAAAGACGTTTCCAAAACATCCTCTGGAGATTTTGTGCTGCTGGGTAATTTTGCATTTATTGGTCTTTTGTATACGAGAAAACGCGATATGATTATTTAAAAATCGAGCAACAAGCATTGCTCTCTTTACATATTTAAATATACTCCCAATTATTAATTATTATTACGCATATGTTTACAGGCGACCTGATACCTCTTTCTCTTGGTTTCGCAATCCGTGGAGAGCATTTTGCTTTATTGTTTGTCGCTATTATAAATGGCGAATAGTGTGCTGCTTCATATGTGTCCTACTTGTAATGCTAGTAGCGTGCGGGGTATATGCTTTTCCCGGATATTTTGTTAAACGACTTTTAGGCGCTTAATCCTCGCATGAGTATGTAATTTACCAAACTTTCATCTTTTCATAACTTATGAACCAACTTTCCTATTTTATGAATTTATATTTCTAACCGATAACTAAGAAATAAGTTAGCTGTATATATTTTTAGCCAAGTGTAATTCTTACCTTTACTAATCTGTTACCGATAAAGTATTGATTGATTTGATATTGGATAATTTACTTATCATTAATTGATAGGTGTGTGTTAAATAAAGTATATAAAATGTTGGTAAATACGTAAAACCATAAATTCATGTAAAATGTGCAAGGATGTGCGTTAAAAGCTTTATAAATGTTAATATATTGTTATCTGTTGAGAAATATTAAACAATATTTTATGAAATAGAAAAAATTAAATTAAATTCTTAAATTCTTTAGTATCTAATTTCTTTCAAGATCTTGCTCAAATTGTCGTACTATATGTATAATATGGTACAGGACATTTTTATTCAATTTTATACGCTCTACTTGCATACAATTACCTAAATTTGATTGTACTGTCGTACTTAAATTCATACATCTGAAATTTTAGTAATCTATTTGCATAATTTTGTGGAAAAAATCATGCATTCGAAATATGTTAACAGATGTTACCCATTATTATAATTTTCCTATTCACGCGTATTTTATACCTGTTAAAAACAGAAAATTGACGGCTCACATTACAAATCCAAGCTAAAGTTTCCCATTGGTTTCTAACACAGATTGATACTCAGTCTAACGTGAACGTCAATTTTTCGGACTTACATAACTGTACTGATTGATGTCCATTTTGCAGAGGAACGCTACTATGCCCATCAGAAGCGCAGTGATCTTCCCTTTCCGAAGCTCTTTGTTTCATGTCGTTACGACGTCCGCGAGTGGAAAAATCGATGTCTGTATTGATCCGCGTTTTCGATCGTTCTTTATCGGCGCGACGAGGCAGAGTAACTGCGATCGCTGTAGGGTAGGTCAGGCGCGTAAACAGCCGCATTCCAGAGCGGAAGCTTGCGCGTGACAGCGTAAGAGCCTGACCCCCCCCCCTCCGCGACTTTGCTGAGTGAAAAGAAGAGAGAGAGAGAGAGAGAGAGACAAACACGGTCGCTCAGGCTATACTGTCGTCATTGTTACGCGTGATCCTGCTTAGGCGAGTCAGCTTGTCGATGCCGCGACTTTAAACAGTTATAACTCGCGAATGAGTCAATGTAGCAACATAAAATAAATAGAGATTTCTTTTCACGCCTTCCCGTACGCGTCGGTGTCATCTATTTATCGCCGATTAAAAAGATTTGTGCGTGGTGATCGGTTAAAATGCGGCGAACGAGCAACGTGTAACTCCTCTTTCGCGATGGAATCCTTCAAATTCTTTTCTTGTTGTGTTTCGTTTATCGTAGCAGTGTAGTGAGTTAATATTGTTTTTGTGCGAGTCGCGAGAGAAAGGAATAATCTATAGTAGTAATACGACCAAAGTACATTCGCGTGTTAATCAGAACGGAAATGTCCTGTACCATTTTCACACTTGTGGTTTAACTTCGTTATTAAAATATTAATTGAACAACGTTTGGCAAATAAAATACTGTGTTATTTATAAAGAAAATAATTACTCAAAAAACCGTGAGTGATACGCGAAAACTGTGACGTGACACTGTGATAGATTAATCTACAAAAAACGAACGTGTGCAATTGTAAAATACTAATAATATAACCTAACTTCACCATTCTGCATAAGAGAGCAAAGCAAGAACTTACTAACAACATACCCAAATTGATGAAGAAGTTTGGCCAATGCTCCAACGAGAGTGATGCGTGTCGCACTTCGTAGTTGAACGTGTTGCATTCGATGCTTGAGTAGTACCCATCCTTGTTTGTAATCTACAATAATTAACAAGGTATGTCATATTCTTTGGCTAATATAGTATTCTAGCTTGCTTATTACACACATGATTACACGCTTCGGCTACGAGCACATAAAGTATTACGCATTAAGCGTCCGTCATTTATTACACAACTTTTTAACTTCCGCGAAACATTCGAAATTACAACCACGAAATAACAGTAGAAACATAACGCGACTGCTACGCCGAATGTATGTGTTCATACGATACGGTGCGCCTAAAAGATATTTCTATACTGATTTTATATATACCATTTTTCATACACACATACACACACACACATATACAGTGCTTTTATTATTAAAATATTAATTGGGAAACATTCAGCGAATGATTTTATATTGCTCATGAAGGAAATAATTATGCAAGTAAATGAAAACCCGACGTGAGAAAAACAGAAAACAACGACACTGTGATATGTTCATATTCAAGCTCGAATGCGTGCAGTTATAAAGTATTAATGACCTTATTACGTACAGTTAGGCGCACACACCCACACACACACGCTCTGTTTAAAAGAGAAAAGAGTAAAACAAGAAATTACTAATCATATACCTGATTTGACGTAAAAGTCGGGTCATTACTCCAACGAGATGATATACGTCACATAGTACTTCGTATTCGAACGTTGTGCTCGACGATTCAGCACTACTGACTCTCCGTTCATTACCTGCAACGATTAATACGGTAATAGATTTGATGACAGATTCGTCATCCAGTATAACACTCACGCTTGTTCATTACACGCATGATTACGTACCTCGACTGCGAATACGCAAAGCATCGCGCGACTATCACCCGTCATTTGTCTCTTCTTCGAACGTACGACATTCGAAATTAAAATGGCGAAATGACTACCATAGAAACGTAACACAACCGTCGCTCCGCGTCTAATGTATTCATACGCCGTACCGCGCCGCGCCACGCCGCGTCTAAGTATCCTTACGCCGAACTATTTTTCATGTACGATATCTTTTTTATTAATATACTAATTAAGGAACATTCGCCGCGAGTGATTCTACATAGAGGAAATAATTATTCAAAAAGCAGAAACAATATGAGAAAGCAGTGACACGACACTGTAATACGTTTATATCCAAATTCGAGTACAGTTATAAAGTGATAAAACTTCATCTCTCTCACTCTCTTACTTACTCCCTCACTCACTCACTCACTCATTCAATCACTCATTCACTCTTTCTCACACATACACACTTTGCGTAAGAAGAGAAAAGCAAGATATTACTAATTATATACCTGGTTTGATGCAAAAGTCTGGCCATTACTCCAACGAGATGATACGCGTCGCAATACTTCGTACTCAAACGTTTCTGCACTGTTCGTCCTCCGCTCGTTACCTGCAATGATTAACACAATAATAGATTCGATAACAGATTCGTCATTCAGTACAACGCTTCCGCTTGCCTATCATAAGTAAAAAAGTAAATGAAACGCGATAATTACCCGCTGCGGTAAAGCCCACAACATCCGCTCGCGTGATAAATATGCGTCTCAAATTGTGTTAATTATTGCCTTAATTGTGGCGAGGTCAAAATGTGGTATCAAAAATCGGCGCGAAATAATTTAGAAAATATCGCGGCAGCTCCCGCGATGCGCTCGCCTCGACGGCTGATAGCGTTATGGCGTGACGCGGCCTGGCCGCGATCCCCCCTCCCACACTCAGCACCACTCAGTCAACAGCCCGAGCAGCCGTTACGACGGTTAGTTTATCTAGCCTTTGTGGAGTCTAGAGTTTATTTTGTTAGAGCTATTATCCAGATATTGTTATTACTGATTATTTGATCATCATTATTTCGTTATTATCGTTAACAATGAATAACAATAACTGGACAACGGCGATAATAACTGATTAAAGACGAGATAAAGAAATTGTCGTAACGCCCGAGTAACTTTCCTATGCGTAATAGAAATACTTAAATAATAACCGAAAAAATTAAATAACAATCAAATAAAGAAGTAATTAATACTCGAATATTAAATAGATGATAATAATATTTGATCGGCATTGAGGAACTCGATCGCAACGTTTCTCTATCTGACAAGTAAAAAAGAAACGCGGTAATTACCTGTCGCGGTAAAGCCCGCAACACCTGCTTGCGTGAAGAGTACGCGTCTTGAGGTGTCTTAATTATTGTCTTAATTGTCGCGGAGTCAAAACGCGGTATTAAAAATCGGCGCGGAATTATCTAGAAAATAACGCGACAACTCCCAATGCGTTCGCTTCGACGGCTGAGAGTGTGTGATGGTGTAACGCTCGAGCACGTGTTCACACACGCGTGTTTACATGATCCGGCCGCACGAGCCCCAAGCGCTGTTTAGGCACGAGCCGACCGTTACACTTGTGTGAACTTGGCACACCATATTTAAAAGTGTGACATTTTTTTTA